GGCATTGTAGTAAATGTCACAAAACAATTGGAAAACCAATTTGCTCTGTAAATTTTCACCCAAATCAGAATTAAAAAGAAAAAGGAATAAAAAATCTTAGAAACACTGCTTATTGTTAGCTGAGGATAACTCTTGGTATTACATTTAAGCATAAAAAACTCTAAAACCGAACTCATTGCCGTCGAGTTGGATCCACCTCGTAGCAACCCCTCCTTAGGTTTCCAAGGCAGTATAACTATGGAAGTAGATTGCCCAACCTTCCTTCCAAGGAGTGGAGGGTGGGTTTGAACTGCTAGCCTTCTGATTAGCAGTCAAATGCCTTAGGCTCTATGCCACCAGAACTCCTGGTGGAAGTTTAGTGTGAAACAATTTAGACAGAGGGTCATATTGATGCAAAAAAAGAAAAAACAGATCCAAATGATATTCCTATTTCTAACTTTTTAAGAAATTACTATATTTTTTTTCACAGTAACCAAAACCAAACTTACTGCTGTTGAGCCGATTTTGACTCATAGCGACTCCTCCTTGGGTTTCCAAGGCAGTATCACTATGGAAGTAGATTGACCAACCTTCCTTCCGAGAAGCGGCTGGTGGATTTGAACCGCCAGCCTTCTGGTTAGCAGTCAAATACCTTAGGCACTATGCCATCAGAGTTACATTAAAGACATTTACGAATAGAGGTCTTAAATTTTAAAGCAGGTCAACTGTCAGAATGTAATACAAAATATTTTTTATGAGGTAATTTAATAACCCAAGGTCTGAGTCAATTAAAATGTATAACTTTATACATGACACCACTTTCATTTTTATGAATACCCCAAAGCCAAAGACATATTTTCACTGCATTACTTCAACTGCAGAAGGCTATATTTAAAGGCCATAGGGCTAGAAGGTAGGAGACTGGCATTTCGCCCAGGCTCTGTCCCCAATAAGCCTCATGAGGTTAGTCATGTCACCTGACCATTCTGTATCTCAGCTTCTTCATTAGTAAAATGAAAAGACTATACTGTGCTTTCCATGGCCTCATGTGGCCCTATCATTTTAGGATCTTTCAACTCTTAAGTTTTCGTTAGGCATTGGACTTTATTCACAATTTAATAGCATACTTTCACCCATTTGCATCTAGATTGCTGAAATCTTTCAATAACTAGGTACCTTCTTAGTCTTTGTTGTTGTTGTTATGTGCTGTTGAGTAGGACCTGACTCATAGCAACCCCTCCTTAGGTTTCCAAGGTGGTATCACTATGGAAGTAGATTGCCCAACCTTCCTTCCGAGGAGTGGCTGGTGGGTGTGAACTGTCAGCCTTCTGGTTCGCAGTCAGTGCCTCAGGCACTATGCTACCAGAGCTCCCTCTTAGTCTTTATATTCCACGAATAGTGACTACCTACTTTTTTTGTGGATTAAAAACAGCCACAAGGTTTTTGCAGCTCTTTCCATCAAAAGGTAAAGTCTATTTCCCTACCTCTTGATTTTGGGCTCAGTCATATGACTTGTGTTAGCCAATAAAATGCTGTGGAAGTAATAGCTGTGACTTCCAAGCACATCCACAAAAGGTCTTCCAGATTCTGCTCTTAATCTCAGTCACCTAATGAGGAAGGCTGAGCTAGCTATGGAAAAGGGGCATGGAAAAGGGCCTCCCAGAGTAGAGTTGAGACATCTTGGCCAATGGCCCCTAGACAACCAGCTGACTGTCCACAAACATACGCCATGAACCCAAACACCACACGGAGCAGTGGTGGGCTATCCCGGCAGGGCTCTGCTCAAACTGCTAACTCACAGAATCATGAACAAATAAATTGTGCTGCTACAAGCCACATTTTGGGGGTGGTTTATTAGGCAGTAATAGATATGTGACATATTGAGTCAGGAACCATGCTAGGTGAAGGGGATACCCTTCAGTCCCTTTTCTGAAGATGCTTAGAATATAGCTGAAGTGACAGACACGTGATGTGGCAATTTCAAAGCAAATGTCCTCAGTTCGATAAGTGGGGGAGGCATATGAGCCCACGGAAATGTAGAAAAGGGGCATCTACCCAGAAGTGAGGAACTGGCAAAGACTTCTCAAGAGATAACATCTTAGAGGAGATAATAAGAAGGAAGAATTCTCTAGGCAAAGAGGGAGAAGGAAGAATATTCCAGGGAGGAGACATTGCATATGCAAAGACCAAAGGGAGCGAGATGGAGCCCTTAGGAGTCTGGGAGTGTTCACTATAATTATAGTATGAGGCAGTCAAGATTGGGCAGGAAGGGTAGCTAAGGTACAGCTCTCTTGGCCTTGGGTACTATTCTGCCACATTGGGACTTTAAACTGAGGGTGATGGGAGCCAAAGAAGGAAATGGTTTCTTTTTTTGTTTTTCCTTTAATACTTGTTTGACCAAAGACATCAAGGAAATCCTCTGATTCAAAGAAACTTCATAGGACAGGAGGTTGGATGTAGTATATAAAGAGAGAAGCAACTCTGGTACTTAGAGTGGCTGCAGGGAATGATATTATGCCAGAGTCCAAGATAATGGATATTAACAACACCAAACCCAAACCAGCTGCTAACCTCTAACTCATGGGGACCCATGGTGTGTCAGTCAGAGTAGAACTGTGCTCCACAGCGTCTTCAATGGCTGATTTTCTGGAAGCAATTCTCCAGGCCTTTTTTCCAAGATGCCTCTGGCTGGACTTGAACCTTCAATCTTTTAGTTAGCAGCCAAGCTTGTTAGCTGGGACCCCGCAGGGACTCCCTAATAGATATTGTTGTTGTTGTTATGTGCTGTCAAGTCGGACCTGACTCATAGAGACCCCTCCTTGGGTTTCCAAGGCAGTATCACTACGGAAGTAGATTGCCCCATCTTCCTTCTGAGGAGTGCCCTAATAGACGTTGTTGTTGTTGTTATGTGCCGTCGAGTCGGCCCCGACTCATAGCGACCCCTCCTTGGGTTTCCGAGGCAGTATCACTACGGAAGTAGGATTGCCCAACCTTCCTTCCGAGGAGTGGCTGGTGGGTTTGAACCGCCAGCCATCTGGTTAGCAGGCAAGTGTCTTAGCCACTATGCTACCAGAGCTCCCTAATAGACATTAGGGTGTGGAAATAAAAAAAGTAGCAGTGACAGGGAAGAAGATGCCACTTTCTGAAAGGAGTCCCTCCTCCTTTTATAAATTCCTGAACATCTGGGGACAGAAAGCATTGAAGACTCCCCTTTTAAAGATGTTACAAAAAGTTTTAAAGCACAGTGAGAAGGTCTCCATCTTCCTGCCATGTGGCCTTGGGCACATGACTAACTTCACCATGAGTCAGTGGAGAGAATGACAGTAGTGACCTCACAGGGTCCCTAAATGCGGGAGGGAGGGACACAAAAAGCATGAGCTTCAGCACTGAACAGGCTGCCGGAATCCAGGCTCTATCACTTAGTAACCTTGGCAGCTGTGTAAACTGAGAACATTTTAAATTTTGCTCAAACTTAGTTTCTATATCTGAAAAATGAGGGTGATAATACCTACCTTGTAGGGCTGTAATGAGGATGAAAGGAAATAATACATGTTAAATGCCATAGCACAGAGCCTAGAACACAGTATAAATGCACACACCCACTGAGATTATAACATTTCTCCAATTTAGAGCCACAGTATTAAATGTTAGCATTCTACAGTACTTCACAATCCTATTCTCTGACCAAAGCTACAGATCAGAAGAGTTGAATTACAGTGTGTATAAAATATAAAGCTTTAGCATGGTATCAATACCAGTGCCGTTACACTAGGATAACTAATCACAAAGAAATGACTGAGGTACAATATTCATATTTTATTTTGTAAATGTGCAGTAAGAAAGTAACCTGGTCATTCAGAATTCATTATGTGAAATTAAGAAGAATGAAGCATCCTCATTCCCTAATTTGGCACTTTGAGGAATTTCCTCTATACACTAAGCCCCCAAATTCACTCTTTTCTAGATCAAAAAAAGTGAAACATGCATACACACAGGGGAGATGAAAAGGTACAACACAATCTGGTGATTTTCGTGAAAAGAATTTCCCCAAATAAGCAGCACTTCACTTTGTTAGAACGTGGAACACTAGAAAGCTAGGAGACACTCAGGCTGACCAGGTAACCTGGAGTCTACGATGTTATCACCTATGGCCTAAGTTCTAGAACACTTCACTTCAAAAAAGGCCACCTTCTAGTGAAATCTGGCCAGAAGGCTTGATTTTTGAGCTAAATGTGTATATACTCACATGTCTCTGTTTTGACAATCAACACACTCAGGATTAATTTTAGAAAGGGTCTGTTGCTGATTTATAGACGAAAAGGCTCAGACAGAGAGAATGGGGTCACACAATTTTAAGTAGGACCCCCCCACCCACCTCCACCCAACAATATCACAAGGGTTTTTGTCTTGCTCTGTTTTTTCAAACAAATACCACAATTGAAAACATATGTTAAGTTAAAAGTTGCTACTAAAGGCAGGATTTAAGAAAAATCATTTCTGATGGCTTTTAAGCACTTGAACTTTCTTCAAAATGCTAGCTAACAACCTTTGGATGTTGCTTTCATTTGAAGCCAGGTGAAACCTGGATCTCTTATTCAATGATTCCATGCTGATTTGGGTGAGAGGACAATTTAGAGTTTGTAAAAACGACTCTATTGACTCCAATGAAGAAGATTTGAACAGGTTGCTGTTCTGCCTAAATAGTATTTCAACAACTTTCTGAAAACCATTGAAGATAAAAAACTATGAATGAGAACCACACACAGGAAGTAAGACAATTCTATCATGTAGGAACATTCTGTTTCCCAAATATTTTCTATGCTGACATCTTTTTAACACACGTTACCCGGTTCTTCCACAAATCAAATGGTATATGAAACTCAAAGTAAGGTGTGTTTGTACAGAGAAGAGATTCTAATGTCCAAAGCCATCCACTGCATGGAATTCTTGTCAGTGTACTTCCTCACGTTGTTCTGCCTTTGGTCACCCACAGGACACAGAAGGGCTGGAGGTCTGCTTGCTCAGCATTCTAGTTCCTCCATGACTTCCATGACAATTGTCCGGGGGCCCGTCAGAATCAGATTGCTCACCGTCCGGTAGTCTACGTGCAGCACATTGAGTCCATTTACAGAGACGACGAACTGACAGACCTAAAGCAAAGAAAGAGGAAGGGCATCTATTACAGCTCCTGGCTTTTCACAGACCTTCCTTTACTAAAGGTACTGCATAGCTCTAAAGGGTGACTTCCATCTTAAAATAACCAGCTGGATCCAGCTGACAACTCCAATTCAATCATTTCTAAGATGCATCACTTTTTCTGGAAGGCAATATAATATAATGGAAAAAACAAAAACAAACCAAACTCACTGCCGTTGAGTCGTTTCCAACTCATAGCAACCCCTTGTTGGGTTTCCGAGGCGGTATTTCTATGGAAGTAGATTGCCCAATCTTCCTTCCAAGGAGTGGCTGGTGGGTGTGAACCACCAGCCTTCTGGTTAGCAGTCAAATGCCTTAGGCACTACACCACTGGAGTTCCCAATTGTGATAGTTGGAGCTGTGTGTCAACTTGGCTGGACCCCAGTTCTGTGTGGTTGTTCCCATGATGGGATCGGATGATTGTGTTCTGAGTGGCCAGTCTGCCCAAGGGGAGTTTCCCTAGGGGTGTGGCCTGCTTCCAGGATATCCAGGGACATCCTGGGAAGAGAGACATTCTTTGAGGGATTGGGACCCTGGTGTGCTGACTACAACCTTCCGTGAGTGAGCAGCCCACCGCTCGGCCTGGAGATCTTGGATTGGTCTTTCGTTGGAGTCAACAACCAGTGTACTGCCTGCCAGTCTTGAATTTCTCGGCCCCCTGTGCTTGCAGAAGCTAAGGCTGCCACCAGCCCAACGTTTCCTCCAGAGACTTTGGACTTACTGGCTTCTATACGTTTGTGAGCCATTTTCCCAAGATAATTTTTTTTTTTTCTCTCTCTCTCTATATATACACTTTGCTGATTTTTGTGTTTCTCTAGAGAACCCAATCTAACACACCAATATAATAGAAAAACTATGTTTTAATAATATTCAGAGTTGTGCTCAAATCCTACCTTAGCAACTTACTAGCTTAAGCTAGGTATTTAAATTTCTGACCTTTATTTCCTTCAACTCTAAAGCAGAGATAATAATAATAAGATTGTTGTAAGAATTAAATAGGTAAAGTGCATAAAGCTTCTACTATAGGACTCTGAATCGATGGCATACTCAATTCATGTGCATAGTCACAGTGCGTCTGGCTGCAATTATTCACATGGACTCAGTATATAGGGAGACCCTATGGTAAGGTAACGTTCCATATTCCCAGGATGGTTCTCAGTTATGTCTATTGTTCCTGTGTGGCTATTAACAGGGTCTTCTTTCACTCTCCAAAGTGTCCCAGTAAGATGATAAATTCCACATCTTTCCTTATTTCCTACTCTTATGGATGAAGTCAACCATGGTCAACTGTTATATTTAGTGTTGGTTAAGGCTGAGGGAAAATAGATAATTACAAGACTATGAACAGCATCCAACACTTGATAATGAACACCACTCTGGATATTTCATGGTGGGCCTGATAATGACCTACAGCTACTGCTTTAAATGGAAGTCCTTCTCTTGATATTGGGGGTGGTATCAGAAGCCAGGGACTTTTAATTTTGCTGCCACCAAAAAACAGATCATATATCCTTATGTATTTGAATAGGTGGACATTGGACATAAGTTATTTGTTTATGTCACTCAAGTAGAAAAGTGGGGATGCACAGATCTCCACATATGCAAGGTATGTCTAATTGGTAAAACACAATCAAACAGAATATAAGTATGTACAGTGCCTGGCACACAATAGGTACTTGTTGTAGGCAAAATAATGACACTTCTATTTGCCCCCTGCTCCCCAAAAAAGATGCCCATGTTCTAATCCTGGAACATGCTTACATGGTAAAGGAGAATTAAGGTTGTAGCTGGAATTTAAAATAGGGAGATTAGCTTGGATTATCCAGGAGCACCCAATATAATCACACAGTTCCTTACAAGAAGGAGATAAGAGGTTCAAAGACAGAAGAAGGAGGACGTAGGACAGAAAGTCTCACCATCCTCATGTCTAAAAAACATTCTGGCTGTACTTCTTCCAAGACAGATTTGTTCATTCTTCTGGCAGTCCGTGGCATATTCAATATTCGTCACCAACACCATAATTCAAATGCATCAATTCTTCTTTGGCCTTCCTTACTCATGGTCCAGCATTCACATGCATATGCTGGGTTCTATTATCTTCTTTCCCTTTAAAAATACCCACTTCCCCTTGAGGGTACCTTTTACCTAAATAACAGATTGGATCATAAAATAAAAAATGTTACCAGTGAGTACTGCACCTGTACAGTGAGTACAGTGCACCTCACAACTGGTCCAATAAACAGCTTCATGATGGATGGAGAGAAGATTGAAGTTGTCAAGGACTTCATATTACTTGGTTATACAATCCACACCAATGGAAGCAGCAGCCAAGACATCAGATGATGTATTGCATTGGGCAAATCTGCTGCAAAAGACCTCTTTCAAGTGATAAGGAGCAAAGATGTCTCCTTGAAACTAAGGTGTGCCTAACCCAAGCCAGGGAGCTCTGGTAGCATAGTGGCTAAGGCACTTGACTGCTAACCAGAAGGCTGACGGTTCAAACCCACCAGCCACTCCTCGGAAGGAAGATGGGGCAATCTACTTCCGTAGTGATACTGCCTCGGAAACCCAAGGAGGGGTCGCTATGAGTCAGGTCCGACTCGACGACACATAACAACAACAACAACAACCCAAGCCATGGTATTTTCAATCACCTTTTATGCCTGTGAGAGCTGGACAATGAATAAGAAGACCAAAGAAGAGTTGATGCTTTTGAATTTTGGTGTTGGAGAAGAATGCTAAGAGTACAATGGACGGCTAAAAGGACTAACAAATCTGTCCTGAAACAAGTACAGCCAGAATACTCCTTGGGAACCAGAATGGCTAGACTTCATCTCACCTACTTTTGTCATGTTGTCAGAAGGAACCATTCCCTCAAGAAGCACCTCATACTTGGTAAAGTGGAGGGTCAATGAAAAAGGGGGAAGGCCCTCAACAAGATGGTTTGACACAGAGGCTGCAACTATGGGCTCAGGTGTAGCAAGGATTGTGAGGCTGGCAAAGGACTGGGCAGTGTTTCGTTCCGCTGTGTGTAGGGTTGCTATGAGTCAGAGATGACTCGACAACACCTAACAACAACAACACAGTGCACCTTTAAAAAAATCATCCATATGAGACCATATGGTCAACAATTACTCTAAAGTGAAGATGAAAGGGTAAGGGGACAGGGAACCAGATTACTGGAAGCAAAACATCCAGAAGGGAATGAACAAATGTGAAAAATGTAACCAGTGTCTCAGAACAACTTGTGTTGTAATCGTTAAATGAAAACCTAATTTGTTGTGCAAACTTTCACTGAATACAGAATATTATTTTTTTAAAAAAATACCCACTTCCTTCATAGTTGCATGCAGAAATGATTGGAATGTGGATGGTGTCAAACAGAATGGTTATTTACTCAGTAAACAGTGTTGTCATGAATTTCATTATTTCCACACCCCAACCTACATCACTAGGGTGTTCTCTCTACACAGAAGACCGTGCAATCGCTGTTTCTTCTTTCCCATTCCAACAACATGCCCTTGCTAATTCTGGGCATATCCTGTGCAAAATCAGCAGTTCTCATGCACAGCTGAGGTCAAAATCATAACAAGGTCACACTAGCAGGTCATAAGCAGCCCTGAAGTAGACCAGGAGCAATTTGCAGGACAATTTAGCTCTAAACAGTGTAGACACCAACCTGTGCTTTGGTTTACGTCCTGTTGCAGAACTCCTCAGCCAAAGCAGGAGAGGCATTTCCTCCGCCCAGAGTGTCAGACTTGGGCTGTTCTTACCTTCAAAGGGATAAGCAGCCTTTTTAGGGTGCCAGATGGGAGGGCAGCAGTTACCAGATGAGCTCAACCTGAAGCTAACCCTTCACAGGCTCTCAAAGTTTAGCTACGTTGCCCAGACACACGGATCGTCATTGAGGAATCTCACACAGCAGTTATTCTCACTCACAACTGTGTTTTGTCAGTCCCTTATAGTGTGTTTTAATTGAGCAACATTTGAAAATTAGGAAATTTTCATTTAGACAGCCAGATTATGGCTTCTCTGGAAAAATCTGCAGTCTGATAACCAAGTCTAGATGGCTGCCTGCCAATGGCAGGCTAGGGCCCAGTAGGGGGTGCCCCTTCTAGAAGAGGCACATGTTCTCCCATTTGCCACAGCCCTCACCACTTCCCTATTTTTGTTAGCTGACAAGCATATGAGTTTGAGATCCCTGAACTGGGACCACCAGAGGGAAGTGCTGAAGCGAGTGAGGCTTGGTGCTTCAAGAACTGAAGGCGTGACTCCATAGAACAATTAACCATATGAGAACAAAAGGGTAGCATTTGCCCCATACAGGGACTAATGGATACAGGGAACCCAGGGAAGAAAGGGCAAGAGTGCTCTTATATCGAAGGAATTACAACTAATGTTATGAAACAAAATGTGTATAAATTATTGAATGGAAAACTAATTTGCTCTGTAAACTTGCACCCAAACCACACACACACAAAAGAACAACTGCTGAAGAAACTCAAACATCCATCAACTGATGAAAGGATAAATAAAATGTGATATGTCCATACAATGCAATATTATTTGGCAATAAAAAGGAACAAACTACTGATACATGCTACAACATATATGAATCTTGAAAGTATCATGCTAAATGCAAGAAGCCAGTCATAGAAGTCCACATATATGATTTCATTTATATTAAATTTCCAGAATAGATAAATCCATAGAGACAGAGAACGGATTAGTGGATGCCAGGGGTTGGGAGTTAGAGTTGGAATCAAGTGAGAGTGGTTGAGGGTTTCTTTGGAGGTGATAAAATTATTCCAAAATTGATTGTAGCGATGATTGTATAACTTTGTGAATATACTAAAAACCACTGAACACTTTACAAGTTGAATTGTATGGTATATGAGTTATATATCAATAAAGCTGTTGTCAAAATAATAACAGAACTGAAGGGAAAAGGAGT